TAAATCGAAGACCTGATAAAAAGGAAAAGTAGAATCGAAAATATTGGGTGCAACATATGTCGCAGGCAAGATATGTGGATGGTGCATTTTATACGCTTTTCGATAAATTGCACGAAGATGATGAGTCTACTGACCAAATTAGAGCAATAATTGCCGAATCGTGTGAAAACCTGTATAAACTTACATAGGTTTCTACTATCGTTGCAATATTTTATCGTACGATATCTGCAGAACATATTGCACGACAATGCAATATTAAATATCGTTGCAATAAAAATTATTGCATCGCATACATATGAAAACTACGCATTTGAACACTTATTATACACTTATTTTAACTGCAATGCAATATTGCACTGTGTGAAAATGATCTAAACCTGATGATGTGAGAGGACTGCATACAATCGGTGCAGTTGACCCACTCCCAGCGGTTGTTGATGGACCATGGATTCATACCTGTTTAAGATGACTTTTAACGCAATATCAAAGTGCCATTGCTCTGATATGGGTCCGAGATACAAATGCCTTTTGTTGTATTGGTATTTTGAGGGTGGTGGTAAGTCGCTAACTGTAGTTACCTTACCTTTTTGGGATTTAATCCCTAATATACCGGGCGACCGGAGAATTTGAAACGAGAAAATTACTGCAAACTCTGTACTCACTAATTACCATTTTTTTTAATAAAATTTGAGGTATTATAAAAAATCCATTATATTAAACGCATTTCGAATTTTATACTATGTTTCTAGAAATACTAAAATTACAGAAAAAATCCGTAGGCCCGAACACTCACCATTCGAGTCAATCTAAAAGATAAACGGCAATTTTCACGATATTACCCAATCCGTCTTGTACTTAGTTATTATTCAAAGTCTCCGTGTATCGACTTAAAAAACTTTCTCAGCCATTGTTGTTGGGAAATATTTAAAAACATTTTTCACTAAATTGAAATGACCGCTGCCGCGTTGCCAGGTATAGCGAAATTTACCTGAACCTATGTACATTCTGTGTATTTACTTTACCTACTTCCTGTTATCCTTGAATCCATCAAACATTAGGTAAACTTGTTCTTCCTCGCTATAGAGATAACAGACTCAACAAATTTCCCATACTCGTTCATTATTCTCTCTGTTATTCCTACTTGGAAATTTTCTGAGGCAAGTTTGAGGCAAGATCTCAACAATACGGCAACATTGTTTTCAATGAGCCTACATTCTAATACCGATCTGATTTATCGTCCATAATTTCGGTCTTATCGTGCCGGTCAGATATTTTTTTATTGCACCAGGACCAGGAAAATGAGCATTAAAGAAGTAGACAGTTATTTCGATTACGCGCAGGGATCAGAATTTTTTTATTGCCTCGTCGGCTCGTAGCACTAAACGCCAGAAATCCGCTCAAGAACTCTATCTTAATTTTTATCTCGCGACGGAATAATGTCCTGATTGTGAATTCTAATAGAAGTTTCCTAATATTTCCGAGATTAGGTGGATTTATGAATGGATTGCGTTTGTACGGCGGATTTTCTGTGCAGGTACTTATTAGGAGAATGTTTCAAGTTAAGGTTAATTAATAGAGATGAAATTAAACCAGAAAATTCTCTAAATTCTTGGAGAAATTACGCAAGAATTACACAATCACACTTGTATTTTAATTGCAATGCAATATTGCAGCGATATATTGCACTACATTGCACTATTGCAATATATTGCATCTTGTACAAATGCTTTAATTCTCACTTATCTAGCTCACAGAATAAATCGCAGAATTAAAATTAATTGTGTATGCCAACAAACAATGTTAAAAATATAAATATAGAAAGAAAACGAATGTTCCAGTTGAGCATACGCGTTTGAACTCGAATATCCTTTAAACATTTTGACTAATTATTTCAACTCGAAATATCGTATGTATTCTTACGTTCGTTAGATATTTGTTTACGAAATAATTAACCGGCTATTAATTCCTTTGGGGTCATATCAACGTTTCATCGAGAGTAATATTTTATTTCTTCCAAAATGTTGTATTTCCAGTTGTGTGTGTGTATTAAGTTGAACGAACTTAAGTGGCTAATGCTCTTCATAAGTAGTTTTTAAAGTTTTAAACCAGTCGACAATTATTTTTGGATTATTTCTACAGGCGATCGGTTCGGATTTCGGTAGCTTTTGGAACTTTTGGAGAATTTATTACGATTTTCGTTGGCATCCGATCTCAAACGAGCGGCAGTAATTTTTTAATGGATGATTAGGAATTTTTTTAAACTAGAAATTTTAACGGATACGATGATTATTAATTTATTTTATTAGCAGGTACGCATTTCCAAACATATCACACTAAAAACCAACACACCTCGTCGCGCTATTAAATAGTTTCAAACATCTGTTTCGCCACTTTATTCGTGTCAATTCGGACGGCTCTAATTACAGAGTTGTCAATACTGGCTCTATCGCATCTCGCTGGTAAGGTGAGCAAGGTATCTAACAGATCAAAATGTAATTTATTCATCGTGTATAATTGGAAAGAAAGCTACCAATGCTGTTACTGGATGAATTTGCTCGTTATTTAATGAAAAACAAATTACTATTGAGAAACTGATTTAGTAATTGTCGGGTTCACGTTGAATCTATAAATCAGTGGTGTAGATGACATTTTCTTGGTTGGTTTTTATAAAGAATACAATGTAAGTTTTGTATTTAAAAAGATTGGTGATATTTTGAAGTAATTCCCGAAGTGTTCACAGTTTAACTTGATTAACACAGAAAAGCCTAAACGAATTATAATTAACTTTTAATTAGATGGGCCGACAGCTTATAAAGTTTGCGCGCCTCTGAATTTCCTACTGATTGGAAGACGCTTCGGCGTAGGAATTTGGTGAAGGTATTAATAAAAATGTCAAAGATAGGAATAAATATTGAATTCTGCTTATATTTTAATTAGATGTTATTTATGGGTCCGAAATAATTAATTCTAGAACTTCTGGTAATGGTAATTTCTCGGTTCCACACAGTGCGAGTACCGTAAGAATTTCTATGAAGCATATGAATATAAATCTGCATTAGAGATAAAATGTCTGGTAAAACTTTCAAAAATTGTGATAGCAAAGCTAATAAAAATACAATTTACTATATGTATAAATTTGGTTCTATAGATAGTTCTAAATGGTTCCAGACAGTTCTAAATAATTCTGGGGCGTTCTCAATAATTCTAGACAATTCTAACTGATTCTGGAGTATTCTGAATGGTTCTAGACAGTTCTTAATGTTTCTGGAGTATTCTAAATGGTTCTGGTTCGTTTGATAAATTTGAACAAATACACTATTATAACGAAAACCTGCAATTTCATCAATCAATTTTGGACTTTAATTAGAGTTACAAGATCTGTTTTTTACTCGGCATTCCCAATGGAATGTATACTTTGAATTAAAATGAATTTTTTTCGTCTCATTTTCGGCGCTCGAGTGCAGTCAGGCTAAAAATACACACAATAAACAATTCCGAAATTCCGTATCGTGATTACAATCACCTTCGGTATCTGTATGTAAAAAATAATTATACAAAATTACACGGTCTAGAGTCCCTTTTGAGTAAATGATTATTATATCGGTCGGTATGACTGGCTGACGCGTTAATTGCGGGTCTTGTAAATGACAATTATCTCTCAGACCCGAAAAAAATGACGGTCGTTAATAAGGTTTCTCCACCACTTAAAGATAACAAACACCAACAACGGGTTTTTTTACAATTCACTGATCTCGCTCGGTTTTATTATAAAGTTATTTAAAAAGGAAACGAGGATATGTTTATTCGTAATAAATGTAATAAGAAGCACGAAAGCTCCAGCACGATTTTCGGTTACAGAAATCTGCTAGATACATTTAAGTAATAATATAATGTGGGCAATTGTATGTTATTACACTGAGATGTTTGTCAGACACAAAATTGTTGACCTAATTTTTACATCAATTACCTACATAAATGCGTCAATAAACATAATTAAAGCACACAATTTGAACCAACTACAAATTACTGTGTTATGCAACCAGTCTGTAATGATAAGTTCTAATAGAAGAACAACAATTAAATAACGACACGAGCCTTGGCTCACATACATTTTAAATTTGCAATTTTTATCTTTTTAGCAACCCCCTATTACTATTTGGTTTCAATGAACATCATAATGGAATTGATAAGACAATGTAATTGAAATATGTAGGTATATGTATGTACATATATTTAGATAATTTATAGGTCAACTGTCCATCCCTGATGCACAAATCATTCATTATCTGTTTAACGAATTACACATCTAATCGTGTTTAATTCGGTAAAAGTACGCATCCATTACAGTTATGTTCCGGCTCGAAATATTATACGATTGCGTATTGAAGATTGATTGCGTTCAATTAAACGAAATTAAAAATAATGCATCTGACATGCCCGAAGAATGTTAATGAATTTTCGTGACGTGTATCATGGATCCTCGCAGTAGGAGCTACGGTAAGAATTTGTCAACGAATTTGTGTATTTCTAGATCCTGCTGGTTGTACGTATACGCGAGAAGGCAGGAAACCCGATCAAAACGCAATATCCCACATCACCACTTTCATAAATGTGTTTTTTTTATTTATTATGGACTAGGAACTGACAAATTTTTTGGATAAAAATTAGTTGTAAAGGAAATTGGGCTCATAATTTTTATTTTATGTGTAATTTATTTTAAGGAATTATGAAAAAATTGTAAATAATTACTAAATGCATATAGGCAAGTTTCCATATGTTGATGTTCGTGACCCGTCAAAATTTTGTATTTGGGATATTTTGCCTTTGGGCTATTTTGTATTTGAGCTATTTTATCTTGCGGTGTTTTGTCTTTGGGCTAATTTGTCTTTAGGTTATTTTATCTTTGGAAAATTTTGTCTTTGGGCTATTTTGTCTTTAGACTATTTTGTCTTTGGGTTATTTCGACGGGGTACTGTTTTTTTGGGTGAATAAAAACTTACTTGTCGTTTTACGCTGGAGGAGCTGTCGCTGAGGCTTCCAGAAGCGTTGTATCTACGTGTTCGGTGCTTGAGGCGCACCCCCGGAGCAAAACCTGAGGCAATGCCTCCCTCTAGGATGCCACCCTCAGCACCTGAAAACCCCTGTAAAAAGATTACCAGCATTACTTTAGATACAAATACAGTTTTTGCGATTAGACGAAATTTTTACTCTGTTGTACATAAATTGAGGTAATATTCATTCCCATATTAATCAGGAATTTCTAGATATTACGATTTAAATCGCTCATTAAATTCAGCTATTCTTTTTCCCATACATCTATTTAGAGAAAATAACTTTTTTTTTGTTGCAATATAAACCTCTTGAAAAAACTAATTTATGAAAGCAATAACCCCGCCGTTACCACATTTCGACTGCTGGTATATATCCACAAAAAAAATTATTAACATTTCACAATTTTTATGTTCTTCATTTACAATTAAATTGCTGTAAACCGTTCACCGGGGGCCTTTCTAATTTTTTACTTGCTACAACTAATCTACTAACATTATTAACATACTGGTTTGAAACCTCAAATACGTATAAACTAAAATAAATATGGTTCCTCTCTAAACAAGAACTATAATAATCGTCCGCGTAATGGAACATTTGCATATTTAATGGTGCTTTAGATCAACGGGGTATTTATGTATTATTGATTTGTTACAGATTGATATTATTTATTAACAGGTTCCTTTAATTATTAATTACATAAATGAACTTGATAAATGCTACTAAATCAAAGATATGTCTACTTTCAATTTAAAAGTTTATATTTCCTTTCTATTCTACAAATAACAAGCTGATTATCCTTGCATTGCTAATTGTTTTTTACAGCAAATAAATGACCCAAATTGTAATTTTTACCAGTACAAAACCTACTCATTAACGGTTCCATTTTCTAGTTCATTTAAAAATTAATTACTAAAACCATTTTATGGCGGGCAGTGATGAATTCATTTTTCTCCCATCAGAAATGAGACCAGTACGGTGGTATATTATTAACTACTTTTATCTAACTGATTGACAGCCGCGTGTACAACATCTCGTCTTGAATTTTCATTCAACATTATGCAAATAGAAGTAGTCGAAAACGCATTAATGGAGATGTAATACAATATTCCGGGTGCCAGAACGCCGGTAAACACTTTTTAAATATTGATGACGGTTGACAAATCGAACCGTTCAAAAAATATAATCGTAAGTTTTTTAATGGATCGAATTAATCTGAGAAAAGACAGTGATTGCTCCGAGATTAAATAACGGAATATTGATATCGGGGTCAATTATAGAATATAAGGAATGGATCCTAAATCGGTTTTTTCGGTAATCGCTCGATCACTTTTAAAAACGCTGCTGTTTGATATATTTGCCTTCTTTGCTCCATTAAAAGGCAAGCGAAATTTAAGATGCAGTTTTTGTTCGGCAATAATTACGATAGTTCTAAATGGTTCTGGAACGGTCTTAATGGTTGTAGACCGTTCTAAATGATTCTGGAGCGTTCTAAATGGTTCTACTAGACAGTTCTAAATGGCATACCGGGAGACTATTTTTGGAAAAAACCTCTTAAGAAGATTAGGAAATTTGCGTTTTATTCCAAATTTCCGGGTACCAACTTTTTTGTCACAAGAGTATCTATTACTATGAAGAACTAAAGCGCGGCTTTACAACGCAGTTAAGCAGTTAACATTTTTGAGACGTAGGTAATCATAAAATGTAATTCTCCCTTACGGGGTGCACCATTGCCTGGAAAAAGTGTGAGATTCTTAGGAAACTCGAAGAGCAAGCCTACAATACTTAGTACCTTTTGTGACGGTCGTAATTTTCGAGGGATACAATGGGTCATAAAATTTATATTGATGGTTTCAGGTGGTAAAGATTCGAAGATAATAGCGCACCATTATTTCAGTTCTTCGGCGCAGCGGACGTGTTGAATGAAAAAAAATGTTGCAATGCAGATAATAATGGAAACCGAAAGTGATGGGGAAACTGAAAAACGCCATTTGAGGTCGGGTGAAAATTAATGAAAACCCTTCAAAAGAATTACTTAAATCTTGCGATTTTTATGTGGTATCTATATTTCACCAACAAATTTCAAAAATTTGAACTAAACAATACGGAGAGTTTGTCAAAAGAGAAATTTGTTAGTCACTAAAAGCGATTCGAAATTTCATATCTTCCTTTCATGCCCAGCCCTGGGGCCCGCCCTCGCTACCCTCACTATAAAATAAAATACGAAATTGAAAAGATTTAAAAAAAATTCCGAAACCGTTTACCTGCTTGACGCTTGCATTGCATCTAAGGAGACGCAGGCCCGAAAGCTTTTTACTACCTCATTAATTTCCCTTCTTAATGTAAAATCTCATATTGTAAAATAAATATACCCACATTTATCATCTGCCCGGGACAAGGGCTACAATTATTTAGCAGATTTTCGAGATTTCATACGGTCAGAGGGGCGCGGGAGAAGCATCCAGGACCGGAATGAAATTATTTAAAAAATTACAAAAAAATTAAATGAATCAAATAGTTTTCATTTAAAATATGAGTACTAGCAAGTTTACAAACACATAAGTAGTTGAAAAATTACTTCAAATTCCTTGGGTATAATGTTCTGAAGATTTTTAATTCAATTACTATGTAATGGGACTTAAATTAATAATATAAATATATAAATAATTAGACTTTTTTGAGATAATTATATTGTCTATTTAGTGATTAATTGTTGGCAAAAAAACTATATTAAAGAAATAAACGAATGCCCCCCTGTTCGGTTGCATTGTGAATAGGCCGATTTAACATCTGAAGATGCAAGGTGGTTGAAATGGACCTTACACACCCCTTGGAAGTCAATTTCGAGTCGATTTTCGACATTGCATACCAGCGGGAGGCAGCAATATGAAACAGGTACCTTTTGGTTTTACGTAAGAATGACAAGACAGGTAAAATGATACATTTTTTTTTTGTTCCGAGGTGATTTTCAATTTAGATGTTTCTCTTTATTTCGCTTTGATAGCGTCAGGTACGCAAACGTCGACGGCAGGTGAATTTTTGACGTGGAATTTTTGACAACGAAAAATTAGACGTATATTTTTTTTATTATCTATCGTAGAGACGTCGCTCTTTTATTAAAAAAATTATACCTGAGGCTTCTACCTTGCGTGAAAAAACGATCGAGGGTAATCTCCTGAATATTATTATTTCCTTGAAAATATAAAATACATATTCATCACATTATTTACTGTTATTTTCTATACACTAGAACCCATAATGTATGTTCAATTTGGATAGGTTCTTAATGCTCCTTATCTACAGTTAATTTCTGTACATTCACTACTGAATCACCCTGTATCTATCCAGGAATTGTTTTTGTCATTGAAGCCCAGACAAAGAAATTTACATTACGTTCCTAAACAGCAATAAATTGTAGCCGGAACCACTATACATCATATGGGTACAAAAGCACCGCGCAACCGAACACGAACTATTTACCAACTAATTACGTCCGAACCATTAAACAAATCATGCCGGATCGGATATCGCGTTAAATAAAAATTTTAGCAAAACATGAAAAAAATTGGCAACTGCTCCAACAAAGGGAACCTTGAGACGCGGCTGTGACCGAAGAATTTTTCCCGATAAATCCGCAAAAAATATGGTAATTTTCGGTTTTTGCTTTTGGGAATGTATTCAATTCATCCAGTGATCTTTCCTCTTGCGCGTTGTTTATCGCTGGTTAGAGGAATGTACTGGTGCTCGGAATGCGACTTTTTCAAATCTTCAATCTCGAGCGGTTTGTTTATTAGCGGGTAAGTAATTTGAAATTATAAAACGGCGTTTTGGAAATTTTTATTTGGTGTTTTAAAATTCTTTAATTCCTTCGGAATCGATTTAAAATTTCGATCATTTGAATCACATTCTGAAGTATCCTTAAATCTTCCAAAATGTTACATACAGTTTATCCAAAACAGAGTTAGCAGTTGCACGTCAGCTAAAATTTACTACATCACAAGTAGGCAGTGTTGCCAAACTTTTATAGAATTTACAAAATCTAGGAATTTTCTAAAATTGTCAAATGGCAAAATAACAAAAACAAATAGAAAGATTGGGGTTCCAGGTTCACGTTCCTAAACGGTCGATGTGTTCCGGTGCTCACTAATCATCAATTATAATTGTCTTTTAAAAGTGTACATAGTTAAATTTCTAAGAAAACTCTCCTAAAATCTGAAATATTTAGTGCTCAAATTGTTTTATTTTTAACATGTAACATGATACCTACGTAAGAATTTCTAATTTCTTGATTGACAACGGCAATTATGCGACTTGACAGTCAGTGCCTACCAACCTACAATAAGAAATAATTAATTATTTTATACAGAAACGTTGAATTTTTATAATATATTTCTCTTGTATGATTTAATTCTGATTTTTTACCATTTTCTATCATCCCTTGTTGATTGTTAATATTAAATTAAATTATGTAGGTATTAAGCTTAATGTAGTGTACATATTTATTTTTAAAAGTTGGACAAAATGCTTGTCAAATATGACGACATTAGTGACGTGCATGTAACTTTGTTTTGCACAAACTGTATGTTGAATATATTAGTAGGAAACTATAAAGATTATTTTTATTAAATCGTGGATAAAATATCACTAGGTACATACAAAAGGTACAAAGACCCTAAGTACCTACCAAAACTATACCCTATTCACCCTAGTTACTCGTATTTATTCGAAAACATCTTGCACAATATTTTATTTCTAAAACTACCCCGTGAATATATCGACCTTATACCTGAACTACATCAAAAGATTGATAGATGGTAAATGCGACGACCTATTTCAAGCTCCACGCCAATCGGGACGTATGTCCAGAATACACTACACCTCAATAGATCAAAAAAAAACCTTACGTAAGTGTACCCACTGCATTGCACCATTTCCATTCTCTTCTATTATTCCTCATTTCGTGTACATATTCAGCACTTTTCAAAGGCCTTCCACCTTTTTTTCGCCTTTCAGGAGCGCATTTCGAGCATAAATAGTACGCGGGGTTGTTTATTTTAGATCCTACTCTTATAAATATTTAATATTATCTCTT